CGTAGGCAGTTTTTCAAGAGGAAAAGAGCGTGGTGACGTGGCAGGGCTCCAACCGTTCACATGCCGCTTTCACGGTCGAGCACTTTTCGGCCACGGCTGGGCCAATAGCATCGTCCAAAACCGGTACACCTGATAGTAAGAAGTCGGCATCTGAGAGAATGCGTAGCCGCGGGTACATCTCCAGAAAATCTGCAACGGCATCATCTCGTTCTTGCTGGGTTCCTCCGGAGATGTGAAGCTCGCACTTCGCTTCGTTCACCACTAGACCGACTTCGCGGGCTTTCAGTATAATCTGGCCAAAAGCGTGCGCTACTGTCGCTGGCTTACCGCCCATGGTTCCGTCGTCCAAAAACCAGGAGTGGATTTTTTCCTTCTCTAGAGCAGCAATGTATTGCAGTCACAAACTTTTTGAGTGATAGAACAGGCCTTTCTGCTTGGGTTGGAATTATTTCATGTTCTTTGTACGCATGATAATGAAACGCTGTGCGGTTCTTGTGCGTCGATCACTGCCACCAAATGCACATGCACTACAATTTTTGTTACCGAACTATGATGGGAATTTTTTGATTTATTGTTGGTTGTGGTAGTTTCAGTAAGGTAATTCGAAATAAGTGATCAAAATGATCAAAAAATTATCCTCCTTGTAGCCACCGTCGGCAAGGGAGGCTCCAAAATTAGTTCGGCAACTAGGAATGCCGGCAATTATACTAAAAATTCTACCAACCGGCATGTTAGCAATAAAAAATCGCAGAGGATTGATTAAACTAAAACAGGGCAGTCAATGGGTGTCAATCACCTTTTCTTATGCTGTAGTCCTGGTATGCTTTGGTCATGCAGTGCCCACAAAGAGCGAGTGCACTTTCTTAGTATTAATATCGCCAATATTAATAACTACTGAACTGTCATGATTACGGTACAGTAACGAACTGGCAAAATTATTCTACCATCATCCCTGTCTTTCGTCTTGGCGCAGGCTGGGAAAGTGATGCCATGCAGCCGGCCCCTCGCATCGGTCAGCTGACGCCGTGGCTCTTGAGCGCCATCTTGATTCAGCTGGACCTGCACTCACAAATGACGGTAAACGGTAAGTGCTATGTACATGTACCGCTGCCCTTAATGGTTTCCGTGTGCAACAGCGGTTCTTAGGTTGATCGAAGGCGGCTCAATATACGGCTATCAGTAAGAAACGCTTGAAATAACTAGGCCGGACCGTACAAGTCCGGATGCCTGCAGAAGTATGAAAGAAAACTGGATTTGCAGAGCGATAGATCTTTACTTCTTATATAGGTTAACTATTGCTGTCATCTACGTACAGAAGTATAACAGTGTCGATTCTTCACAGGGTATGTGGACTATGGCATCTACTTTTAAGCAGCCCGCGCAAGGCGGAACACATTAGCGTAAACATGGAAAGCTGTTGGCAGCTGCAGGCAGACAGTAACAACTGCTACAAACTGGCAACGCTGCTTAGCCGCTCAGTCAATCCTACCACGATTAGCCTCACCTTCCTCAACGTTTTCTCCCCAAGGCACGTGTCATTTATAGGAAGCTTGCTCGACCGGATGGAAATCAGGCTGCCGTTGCTTGCATTTAAAGACCAAATCATCACCAAAAACGGGTGCCTGGGCGGACGAAAAGAGCACCGGCGGAAGCACTCTGCCACACTGGTGCCAACGTTGTACAAGCGCCGGTGCGACGTCGTTGCGCTGTACAACTGGAAAGTGGGCGACCTGTTCGGACTCGCAACGTACGAAATTTTTCATGGTTTAAGCGATGATGGTGGCGTTGTCCGTCGCCTGCCGGCAGACCTTGAGGAAACCACGCGAGCGGAAGTTGTACGCAATGGGCATCGACAAATTGCAGATCCGCTTTCCGCGGCTGTTTCTACGATGCAGCGATGGAAAAATGCATATGACCAGTCGTTTCATGTCTGCCCTCAACGACAATTTCCCGTCGGCTAGCGTGGACATGCTAGCAAAGGTCACGACTGTATATGCTCGCTGGTACGGACTTTAGCGTATCCGGAAGAGTGGCAGACCATTCGCACCTATCTTGTCGTGTACGTGGGGTTAAACTAACTCCAGTATTTGGTTAGAAGTGCTTATTTGTGCAGCACGCGTCAGAACGAAGCCTTAACATGTTTTTGCTAGTCCTACGTTGTAAGAATCGTCCGCTGTTCTGTTGTTTACTTAGTGCTTGAACCTCTTTTGTGTGCTGTAGGTTCAGCGGCTTCCATGCCGACGGAAGCCCGCGCATATGGAAAGAGATGGGCTTGCGGTTGGTGGAGGTATCCACACTGAGCAAACTGGCCATTTACGGCATCACCGAATTATTCGCTGTTTGATCAGGACCCACAGACCCTTTGCCACGCGCTCTGCTCTGGGTTAAAAGCCCGCTCTTATTTGAAGCAAATTGAATTTTAACGCGTATTACTTACTGTGGCCGTTCGATGCGATTGCACCTCGCACACGCTCCGTAGAACGTGCTGCAGCGTGTGCAACGATTTCCGTATATCAGGCTTTGTGGTTCTATCGCGTGCGGCTTTGGCCTACCGGAGCTACTTTAAAATGCTAATTTTTTTAAGTAACTCCACAGTCCATATAACACCTTTTGTGGGAAAACATCTCCTGATCCTGACTAAGTTACGGCCAGGTACTACTGAATCAAGGCCCGTGTTATGTGATAATCTTGATTATCTTGTTACATGCCGTTTGAACCCTTTGTTTTCTGATTTGATTTTCTTTTACTATTCCGTCTTCCATTAATTATAAATTTCCCAGTTGAGCTCACGATCAGTTCTGCCTGAACTTTGTCACAGCCAGTAGCCACCGACTCAGTGAACAGGATTTCCGACTGTTCCATACCACGTTGCGAACAATAATTAGAAAAGAGCGCCGAATCGTTGGAGTTTGCCATCGAACACAATGTGAGCCATAAACACGAAGTCAGATTGTGTATCTCCATTCTCTTTTTTTGACTATTTTCGGAAAATCTACCAATTTACAAAATCTGTTTATCAACGTCAGAAAGATTGAGAAAATAGTTAGTGTTGCGTCGAGCCCTTCAATAAATTTTCGCGATGATTATTACTTTTTGTAAAGCTGCTGAGCGTTGGGTGCCCTTATTACATTAAAAACCTTGGAGAGTTAATGAAATATGAGTTAAATCTTTAGTCTTTTGCAACAAGACGTGGTTCCCTTAAGGCATTTGGCACAAAAAAAATGCATGCTGACGCCCCTGACGCTGCTAATCGTGCCGGCACGTTGTAAAGGGTCCCTAAATCTGATGTTATAGCGGTGTTTCCTCTACACCTTCCTAATCCAATAGTAAAACCCACGAAGTGATATTTTGCTGGTCCCAGCTGTTTCCAACATGGTTAAATTTACATAGTGTTACGTAATGTTTGACAATATACGAGCAGGTCCTTCGCATTACGTAATTCCCCTCAGGGCCGTCGGAGCAACTATATGCTGATATTTCACACCGGCACAGTCCACACCGTTCACCCGAAAACTGGCTATCTTTTGTGGGCAGCAGGCTCCAAGCTTCGTATACAGCAAGCAATTTTTATGTTATGTTTTCGGAATGTAAATGAAATTATACTCAATTGTATATCAAAGCAAGCTACTGCTAATAAATAATTCACATTCGCAATGTTTCCAAGCATACAACAAACGATCAGCAAAGCCGATTCTTGTTCATGGTTTGTCGACGACTGGACTCGCATATTCGCTGTCTTCCTAAAAAGTATAGGGTACCACCCCTGGATCACGGACGCCAATGGGCAAAAGTTCTCATGGCGCGCTATATTTCCCGGGCTGCTTTTGTCGATTTCGGTGTTCTTGGCCAACTTAATTGCTGTAAGCGATACCCTGGTGAAAACTATATCGTCAATGTCGAGTTCCCAAACCGATAAGGCAACTATAATTATGGTTGCCGCATTATTCTTCCAGTTCTCAATTTGTGGATTGATGCGATTAATGACGTTTCCCTTTACTGCGCGCCTTTTAGATAGCTACATCGGTGAACTACATGAAATGTTACCTCTTTTTGACATCCGTGCAGGCAATCGCCGGAAATTACTTTTAGCATCAGCGTTGCAGTTTACCGCTGTTTTAGGTGTTTGTGTTATCGTGTTCACTCTACATTTCCAGCAGAATTTTCCCGGCCCAACTGTTGATTTTCTATGGTATCCGATAAATACCAACACTTTCATCACCGTATTCCAGATGGTTCCAATGCTATTAGCTGCTGCCGGACAATCGGCGTTTACATACGCGTTTTTATATATCGCCGGTATTATCAGTTTTGCATTTCAGGCCAATAACAAGCAAGTTGACAAGATCATTCACAATTTCGAAAATGAAAACAACATGGAAGTTTTCGCTGAAGAGCTAGCAAAATCTCGTCTGCATCACTGGAAGTTGTCAATCGTCACAGAAAAGCTGGATCGCGTGTTCGCTCCGGTGATGTTGATCCAAACCGGCTTCGACATCCTGGCGATCACATTGCTAATCGGTATCGCGATGGGTGGGGCGCTTAAATTCTCAATGGGCGTCTTTGCTACAACCAATGTGGAAGACTTTTTGTTGTTAATTATTATTGCGATGGGAAACTTTCTGCTGTTCTTCAGTCGCATTGTGATGGCGAGTTATCTCAAAAGCCAGGTAAAACGCGTAAATTATCATAAAAGACACATCACCTTAGTAGTACTGTACTTTGCTGTGCAGGCACATGGAATTGTGTCTCTGTACCATCAGTGCGATGAGGTATCGGAAGGTAACGACCGTATCAGAAAGGTCACTGTTTGCACTGTGCAGCGCTTGCGAGACAATCCGGTTGGATTTACCGTCGGAAAGCTCTTGGTCCTCGATACAAGTTTTATTCTGACGGTAAGCGATATGTTTTATATTGTATTACATGACACAAATCTTGTTCATAGAAGAGCAGTTTGTCTGATATTGCAGTTTCATACAGTATTAAATTATTCTTTTTAGGTATTTGGGCTGCTGCTTACCTATTTCATCGTGATCTATGAAATCACATCTCGTAACGACCCAAAAGCCATTACATGTAACAACAGCACATTTGCTGAACATACCGATTATAAGTAACCATACCACCTACAGACAATTAAAACAGCTGCTGTTAGCACTAATACAAAGGTTTTCACCATTATTTTTGAGGATTACCGTTTTGCACTACCAGTTAACAAGTTGACCTTAACAAAAGACTACAGCAGTTACGCCGAGCAAGAATGTAATCGTGTATTAGACTAATTTTTGACAGCATTCGTTGATCGCATTATTCCGTACGTGTCTACGTGAATATCACGATGTGTCCGAAAAAGCAGTCTTTAGCATTGCGTGTTCGTTTCTTCTTCTTCAACGTTCGCACTTCGCAATGTCTTGTCATGAATGCTTTGGACAGCATCCGTTACTACAGACCGCATCTCCACAATCTCGGTCGATTTTGCACCGTCGGTACTCCTCACACGGTCGGCACTGTCCAAAAAATACCATTTGCTCCATATGTGGATCGAAATCACCACACAGTGTTCCCCAGGAACAGTCGCTATCTTTCGCGCACAAATACGTCTGGTTTGTCGTTGGCTGCAGAGAGTCTATAAAACGAAATTAGACGACTGGATTAGCTTTCGGGTGTCCTGCACCTGCAGAACGGTACATACCGGTGCCTATCTTCGGTACACTACCTATCTTCGGTGTACGGTACATACCGGTGCCTATCTCCTTATTGCATACAGCATATTTACCTTCATCCGTTGATGGAGACGATGTCGAGGTCTCGTTATCAGTTAATTTCTTATCTGAAGTTTTACCTGCACCAGATGCAAAGCACTGAACAAATGTACAAGACGTTGCAAAGAAAACAAATTATTCACGAAATCAGCAGGCCGGGCTTTAGAAGTAAAAACCAAAAAGCTGTCACCTATTCTGGAGATGAATAGAATAATATCTTTTTGTATACAGAAGCTCCAGGACAAAATGATGGAATGTGGTGGCACCACTTTAGTGGTGCTAACCGAGACAGCTTCACTTCGGTAAACTGGTGCACGTACCGGAATTCGTGATAATTATTGCCGTTGCCGCCACTGTAACCGCCAAGATAATCACCGTTGTTACGATGCAGAAAGCGATCTACAACAAGCACGTAATCAAAATATACTGCTTATGCTTTTAACGTTGCTCAACCATGTTAAAAACAATACTTCTCACCAAGTACAGATATCGCTGAACGCCGGTGGCGTGATATTCGAGACTTATACACCACTATTTAGCTGTTAAGATTTTTGTAGTATTTTTTATATCACCAAATGAATTATACTACAATATTCGCTAACCAAAAGAATGCCGGACTGATGAATCGGTGCAACACAATAACGGTACCGCTAGAACCTTTTGGTGGTGTAACAATCATTATATAAAAGCTATGACAGCAAAGTGCTGAGTTATGGCACTCAGTGCGGCAGCTTATGTTACGAAAATTCAACAATTTACTGGATAAAAACTTGATTAAGCACAAACACACCATGCAGCAACGTGCGGTACAGCAAACGGAACACTTCTTGTGATTTCGTTGCACATCCCGTTTGCAAAATTCAGTTGATTCTCGATGAGATGTTTTGATCAGTAATTTCGCCGATCCGCACCGACTGCACTGCTGACTGCTTGCGCACGAAGCGCTGTCCATTGATCCACACAATAACCGTTGGATAGAACGATAAACTGATCCTGTTTAGCTTTACCGTTCAGTTAGTGATGCATAAAAGATGAATTATCTTGCGAATTTAAATTACAGTTTTTAATGTGCGGCCACGCTGTGTACACGCAAAAATTTGAGCGGATAATGCGACATTCATTTTTCTATCGAAATTTTGTAAGTTTGTACTCAAAACTAGTGAATCCAAGGTACAACACTAAGATTTCAATATCCATCGTGCATAGGTTATAAAAATTTGATGGGAAATTATTGTTTACGTTCACAGCGCTGGACCGGTCTGCTTCGCAGGTGTTTACACGTCGTCAGTGGAATGCACATGATCGCACCATTCTAACTCAGAACTGCTGTTCGAATATGTTATTAATGTCATAGAAAGCCTGGGTGTTCCTCTGCTTTACCAACTTTGTTATCTTCTCTAACTCAGTTCGATAATACATCCAGCAAATATGTCAAAGCAAAACGCAAACAAAACAAAACTGACAGTTCGCACAACAAACACCGGCAACATCAAAGAACGAAGTGTACTGAATGCGCTTGATTGAATTACGCTAGGAAAATCACCGAACTCCGATCTTGGTCACTGGCAGACTGGAGCGCAGCTCCTACCTTTTTCAAAATGCCGCTCCTACGCCGCCCTACCGTTTGTTTTATTTTAAGTCATTCCGGCATACGTTAGTTCAATTAAAGTCGAAATATAATTATAACGGAAACACAAGTAAATTATGCACAAGTACTGGAATAAGTACGTTGAAATTAGAGGCGCGCATCCCAGAAAGAGCATATCTATCCAGTCGGTTAACTACATGAAAGTTGTACATGTGCTGTACATTGTTCAATAACTATCTTAAAGCAAGGTCGCCGTAGGCTATGGACATTATAAACAACCATGTACTGTACAGTCACTAAAGATGTACAAAATCCGAAGTACCTGACTGCCTATGCTGTCCGCGTGATTTGTTGCTATTTTTGGAAATAAACAGCTGAAGTTAATCGTTGTTACATATGACCTTTCAGAAGAAAATCCCAACGAATAAAGGTAAATCAGTTATCAAAGTACGAGTAAACCTGTAGGTTTGGTCAGCTACCCAGTGACAGCTACCCAGCTACCTAGTCGACAGTGAAGTTGAGGCATGTGCCACACTGACAGCACGATCTACCATAATTCTTAGGCGAGGCCAGTTCGTGGATGACCAACAGGTACGTCACCAACAGGCCAAACATCTGAAAAGATTCGCTGTTCTGATAAGCCAAAATTATAAATTCCCGATTGCACAATAAGCTATCCGTTATAACGATGGGCATTTCAAATTTGACCAACCGTTACAACAAATTCTGTGTCGAGAAGAAGGATCTTAGCCGCCGTGAACCCCACAGCTATATCTTGTAATCGCCGCACGGTGGGCCTCGTCAAGAGTTCCGCTTTCTTGGAGTAGTGTTCTGGTACGGCATTACAAACATCATGAAAAACTGTAGCGATATCGTGCGCCTGCAAAGTTAAATACGCGCAGTTGGATTTTGGTATTCGTATCGTAACTCTAAGACGATCGTACTTTGCTTTTAGCGTAGCTTGCAGCAATCAGTCGAAAAAAGTACTGTAAAAACCGGCACCACGCAACCGCTCCCACGAGCCAAAAATCTTCCACGTTTGTCGTTATGAAAACTCCCAAAGAAACGCCCATTGATCCGTTCAAGACAATGCCGATTAACAGAACTACGGCGAGGATATCTGAACCCGTTTGCAGCAATTGCAATGGACAGAAGACATCGTCCAAACCTTTCGTGATCTTGGACAACATGAAATGGACTTGTCGACCTTTTCGTATGGCGTCGAATGCACTGTTTCGTGCAGATTCTTCCACTTCTTCCGTATTCTCCAAAACGGTGACTGCATTTCTAATACGTTTATTATTAGAAGCAAATGCCGCCCCGATTACAAAGGCTAAGTAGACGAAAGAGCAAGTAAAGAGCATCTGTGAGTTAGCGCCGAGTATTATCGGTGCCAATTGGAAGACGATCTGGTAGATGTGTGCCCGCATCTTCCATCCAAAGAAATATGCGTATTCCGTAGGCAGCGGTTGAGTAAAATGGAAATGCATCACTGTTATGCTAGAAACAGCCATCACAACTAGGAGACCGCCAACGGCAGTATGAATGCGATACCGTGCCGTCATTGGCAGATTGACATGAATCGACAAAACACGTTCAAGTTGGCAAATACTCTGGTCCAGTTGGCGGGACGTAAAAGGGAAGATACCAAGCAAAGCAATTGCACCGCCGAGAAACTGCGCGTAGACTACGGCCATCATATACAATGTCATCGTTTCCTGATGCTCTTCTAGTTGCGATACGGTCTGGATTAACGTCTCGCTGAAGGCAATCAAGCCGGCAGCTATCGGCACAGTCAAAAGAAAACCACTAATTAAAAATCGATAAGAAAATTCCTGATCATTCCAGGGAGAATATCCCGTGCCCCTCAGTAAAATAGAGTAGACGTTCCAATCGTACGCGAACCAGGAAGTAGAAGCGAACGGAGTGGCTTTTTTGGGCTGCTCCATTTGGTAATGAATTATCAATTATTACGCCTTATGTTGCTAACTGTTACAAATACAATCCCATACTTTCTTGCTCTTACAGTATGTTCACAACGAGTAAAAGAACCGTATCAAGCACGGTACTCATGCACGTACAGAGTAAACTTCTAAAACTATGGCATCGGTTAACATGTAACATGTTGACGAAACTGGATTGGGCTCGGTTGACAGTTGACAGTTGCGTCCATAAAACGTACACGGTGTAAAGTTGACCAAAACCTGCCTCCATCTATGTAAATTCGACAAGGTGTCAGGATTATGGACTAATGAGAAAGCCGTTGTTGTCGCGCTCTTAGGTAAGTTACAATTAGGAGGAAGAATCACGCGCAGCGCGATAATATTGAACGATAATGTACTACTGTTTGCCTGTCTACTACGAGTACGAGTACATTATTAAATCACGCAGTGCAGCAGGATTCGTCTTCACTCTATTAGAGTAATGACACTTAACGTTATTACAGGACAGAGTAGCGAACAAAACCCAGCTAAAGATGAATCAAGTGTGCTGTAGCGTTGGGCGGTTCCGTCATACAGTTGCCGTCGCTGCGGGATGTAATTTCGTGGACCACTAGCAAATATGTGGCCAACACACCAGTGGTCTGCAAAACCAAAGAGATGTGGAAACCGCCATCCGTCAGTATTTCATAAGTTTACGACATGCAGGCAGACTTTATGATCACATGCAGTCGTTGTATCAGGGCAACGTCTGATTCGATGCAACAGAGGAAACTGACTTTCACTTACAGTAACGACAAAGTTCGTATCCAGGTTCACTAAGCCCCATCCGGTCAGTACAACCGGGTTCTCCGTCAGTCGACGAAGCGTCGCACTCATCTGGTTTCGAACAGCCGTATTCCAGTGTAACTTCTCCATAACATCGTGGTAAATCGGGACAACACTGTGCGCCTAAAATTAAATTCACCGTAGAACATTTTCGTGACGCAATACTCATCGTCAATAGAGTAGTGTTCCAGTAAAAAGGTGAATTGCAAAATAGTCACTAACTTGATTATTCAGCCAGCTCGCGGAAAGTAGGCAGCCAGCCAGTAGGCTTGCGACACCAACTGCCGAAATTATCATGGATGCAAAATCCTCATCATTGGGTGTTAGCGCAAACCCCATGGACGCGGTCAGACGCCCTTCCATGACCAAACCCACCATCAGAATGACCTCCAGCGTGGCACTGCACACCAAGATAAACACGCCGGGTGCGAAGACGGTATCAAAGCGCCGGACGATCTTTGTTAAGCGATGATGGCGCGATCGAATCCGCTCCAAACAGCTGGTGAACTCCTCCACTCCGATGACCCCATTTTCTAGCTGTTCAAAATTTTGTGCAACGCCGGATGCTATACTGCGGAAAGCGTATCCCGTTGTCCCGACCATGTACAAGTAAACGGTGCTCAAGGATACCTCGACGACAACGCCGGACATAAGAGGGAATCCTTGAAATATGACGATGGCGAAAATCGTACGAATGTGTAAACCATAAGCGTCTGTATAGGAAGGCGTCATTATATTTCCATGAAGGCGACAGTACATCCACAATGCGCCGCAGATGGCGATAAAGGCGTTAAACAAAAGCGTGATTTTGGATAGCTTCTTGATTTTATCCGGGAAAAGTGGATGCTCGCCTAGGTAACTCGCCAATTCCTGCACGATTTGGTGGATGTGTCGGGTCTGACGGGTAGTCACTACGATTGTGGCGATCGCTGCCACATCGAACGAAAAGATCATCAGCGCGACAAACAAGAGCTTGGTAATCTCTTCGGGTGGAATGGCCGCCTTGCTGGCCTTTAGATATTCTTCTGTCACGGTAACTGTCCCGAGAAGGAGGGCGCATACATACACTACACACCATACGGATGCGATAAACGACCGCTTCGGTGAAGGTCCGTCCTGCCATACGCTGAGACCGCCTAATCGCAATAATGTACGGAGTCCCTTACTGCGCCTGTCAAAGGAAGAACCAGTTTTCTTTTGCATTTTGCAAATATTTATCATATGCTTATAATAGTTATTTTGGACTTCTAAAAACTATTTGAACTATTTTGAACTTCATTTAGTGGTGAAAGACAAACTCTCGCGATGCAAAGTTGACTGCATTTGCATCGCCTAAACGGTACGTTCACAATACAAACTTGTTGATCAGCTAATTTTGTAGCGATTCCACGGAAGTACGTATGTTCCACTTGCAGCAATCATTCAAATAATGGAGAACAGTTTGATGTAGGCAAGGGAATTCATCCTTTCCCAAATGCTAACAAATATTAAGTGAAAGAGAATCATATATTGAACCTTAAAAATAGTATACATTGTACGTCGACAAAAACATTCTGCTGAAGTAGCACGCTTGAGACGCATCACCATCAGCGTTAGTACCAACGGATCGCTTACAGCGGAATGCATCCAGGATGACCTCAGTGTTAGAGTACATGGACAAAGTACATCCTTACTACGGACGTCAATGCCGCTGCGCTATGGTCAAAAGGCCATTGTGTGCAGCGTGCACAAAGGTCAAAATAATATGATTACAACATTATTTTGTCGATCAGTAATGCGGCTAAAGCCAGTAAGTTAAAAAGCACAGTTTCTAACTACAAGCCTGCTGCTGTATGCGCAGTTTAATAGCGGTAATACGCTTCGTTATTTCCTAGGTAGTCATGTAACAAAGCCAAATCTAATGGTAAGCGTTGCAGTTTATAGTGCAAATGAATTACACGCGGTACCTTCATGTTACTATCGGTATTTGTAAAAGCACATGCAGTTTTTGGTTACTGGGATAGAGGGAAAGAAAAGCAAATTTTAATTGTGGCAAGGTCTCACAGAGTTGATGTTACCGGTCAGACCATTCCCTAAAGTAAACGCAACGCGTTAATGAACGTCAAATGCGTTAATAAACGTAACGCATTTGATCTGGATAGCGAATAACAGGGTAACACAACTTACGATGCACACAAGAAT